TAGAAAACTTATAAATTAGACTAATTGCAAGAAAATTGTTAGTTTAGGGATCTAATTGTTGTTTTTTTAGGTTCAGTAGCCTAATTGCATTATTGTGTGCAGTTGGATGGCCTATTTGACCCTTATTCCTATTTTCTATTCTCTACAATCGTTATACCGCGCACCAAGGTGCACATGGTATTGTGCGCTCCGCGCCTCCTAAAACAACGTCGTTTTGTTAAGTTATTAAAAAAAATTTCATGTTTCGAATACACATAAACTCATAACAGAATACACATAATCTAACATAATACATAATACACATAAATTCATAACACAATACACATAAACTTTTAACTAAATATACATAATGGGTTTAGTTAACATAATACACATAAACTCTTAACTGAATACACATAAACTCATAACACAATACACATAAAATTTTAACTGAATACACATAATGAGGTTTGGTCAGTTCGGATGGACGGAGTGATGTCAGTATGACGTCAGCATGAAACACGCACATTTTGTGCCTAGGCGCACATTGATATGTGCACCGTGGTGCACGATATAAATTGTCATTTCTCTAAATCACTAAATTATTAATCCACTTTAAACTTAGCCGAGGCTATTGTTGTTAAAGAAGCCCTCTCATGGGCTAAGGAATGTGGTCTTCGAAGAGTGGTAGTCTTTTATGATTGTCAGAAGATCTGCAATTTGTTCAATGGCTCTTAGATCGATTACTCTTTTGCAGGTTGTATTATTAAAGATTGTCGTGACATTAAAGGACATTTTTATACGGTGTCCTTTCAGTTTATTTCTCGATCAGTGAATAGATCTGCTCACGCGATGGCTAGAGCTGCCCGTTCTCAAATCCTTTAGTTTGGTTATTTACTATTCCGCATTGTATTTAGTCTTTGATTTAATGAAATTTGCTGAGTTTTCCTTTAAAAAAAATCCACTTTACCTTAAAAAAATAAATAAATAAAGAAGAAATTTATTGCAAATATAATAAGCAAAACATAGACCAAAGACAAATAAATACCAATGATTACTGTGTGGACTATGGCCCATACAAGTTGTGTGGACCATATTTTGTATATTATAAAATAATGTACATTTCGTACAAAAGTAATGTACATTGTATTCAGGGGATGTACATTATTTTTGTACTGAGTATACATTATATTATATAATATACATTCAGTACAAAAATAATATACATTTAGTATATTAAAAATGTATTTTTTATTATGGTCCACATAACACCGTGTGAACCATGGTCCACACAATAATTTGCCGATAAATACTTGACCCTCACAAAAAGGGGTACAAACCTACAACAAAACCAACTAACGTCGAAATTTTTATTTGCCTTTTTTCTTTCTTGACTAAACGCCTAATAAACGAAAAAGAAGTCCAGTAAGATGAGAACTATAATGAATTGTATTGACAATAATAGTTTACAAGAGTATATTGACCTAGGTATATATACAAGAGGAGATAGAGGGGGACTAGGATTGGGAATCATAAGTAGACTCAAATACATAGATAGAGTCCTAATATTCCCCCTCAAGTACATGGTACAGACGTGACCTGTAACTTGTCTCGAAGAAAAGAAAACCTAGGACCTGCTAGAGCTTTTGTAAATATATCTGCAAGTTGATCTTTGGTGGAGATAAAGTTGACTTGAATCTCTCCTTTGGCAACTCTGTCTCTCACAAAATGATAGTCAATCTCAACATGCTTAGTGCGAGCATGAAAAATAGGAGTAGCACACAGATATGTAGCACCAAGATTATCACACCATTGTGTTGGAACAAATATCCCATTAACGCCGATTTCACGCAATAGGGAGAGAACCCAAATTACTTCCGCACAAACATCAGCTAATCCCTTGTATTCAGCCTCCGTGGAGGATCTTGCCATAGTTCTTTGCTTTTTGCACACCCAAGATACAAGATTTGACCCAAGAAAGACAGCATACCCACTAGTTGACTTACGATCCTCAAGGCAGCCAGCCCAGTCCGAGTCAGAGAAGGCATGTAGTTCTCTATATGCAGATTTTCGGATACGCAAACCATAAGATAAAGTCCCTTTGACATACCTCAATACACGCTTTGCTTGTTCCCAATGGGTTACCGTAGACTCAAATACATAGATACAGTCCTAATAAGTAGCAACTCGAGGAAGATAATATCGTTCGCCCTCCAACATTATTATATATGTTCTCAAAAGCTGCACCAATCTCTAGCTCATCACAGATGAGGAATAATGTGAATTAGTATCTAGATCAGATGCTTTGGACTAAGAATGTCCATATACACTAACCAATCACCACCTTTAGCACCCATATGAACATTATCTATAACTATGATATTGATCACTAGAAGATTATGGAAAGAGATTAAAAGAATAATATTATTACCAACAAATTAAAGGGGACAAATAATAACTTGAACATATTCATCACAGCTACCTGATGTGTCACGATTTGCTTGGAGCTACCATCCTTCGACACATATGCGAGTTGTTTCTCACAACAAGTCCACACTCTCAGAACCACTCCGAATATTATCTTATAGCAGACTCTTAGATTTTGAGATTCCGAACTCTACAAATGCCTAACCACTGAATAACTTACCAATGATCTTCTCAACCCATGGATAGTTTTAATAAGTTTAAGAACTAGAGTATTTGAAATCTAGTTGACACAATGATTGATACCACATACTTGACTCTTGTGCATGATTTGATTGTTGACCATTTGGTTTCATGAGTTTCTTGGAGCCATCATTTGGCACTTATGGTCTTAACTTGGTTGATGGCTTGCTTGGGGACAAACAAGGTTGAATTGTGAAAATTTTTGATAAGTGCTAAAGATGTATCTTTATGAGGGTCATTTTGTGCTTAATTTGAGTCCCATTGTATTTAATTTGCAAGGGAAATACTTGTTTCGTGTAAAAATGAATTATGATGTGTGTTTTAGTGTTTATAAGGTTTTTTGTCCAAAGTGGTAGCATATATATGGGCTTGATTTGGGGCATTTTGGAAGAGTGTTGCAGCAGCCAAACATAGGGGAGAGTACACAATCGTGCACAAGTTCGTGGCCAAACTTCTGCAGCTGCCACGACTGCTACACGATAATGGCCAAGTCACTGGGAGCGCCACGATGCTCTACACGATCGTGCATGAATCGTGGCGGTGAGCGCAAAAGTTATATAATCTGCGAAATGTTAGCTTTTTTAGGGGGCTGAGAAGTTAGTTAGACTGATATATTTTCTAGATTTTTAGACATCTCAAACACTCTCCAATCTAGAGAGAGAAAGCAGTCCTAAGTCTTTGTAAATTGACAACTTACTTTGATATTGGAGAAAATCTCTTGATTGATTGGAAGCAATTGTTGATTGATTGTTACATTTGGATTGAAGATTGGTAATCTCTACACTTTCTCCATCTCAATTTCATCTTCATATTCTTTCATTACTTCAATTCAATGTGCTTTCACTCTAAGAACATGAGTGGCTAAGAATCATATATAAGGGATTGGATTGGCATTTACTTGTATGGTGTTAGTGTGGATTTGAATTCTTGATTTGAAATCGTAATTGTGCTTATTGCTTGATTTTTTGATGATGAAAGTGGGAGATTTGATTGTGTCTTTGGAGTTAGGGCCCAATTCCTTAGATGATATAGGAATTAGCATGTTTGATAAGAGATTACTACATGCTAAAGCCTAAATCTCACTTGCATTTCCCGCCTTAGGTCCAAGAGGGCAAAGTCCGGAATGAGGTGTAGGCAAAGTGTTTGTTGAAATGACTCATAGGTATAAAATTGTCACTTGGGTGCACTTTTACACCATGATAAACCATAACGACGTAAAATGTCTGTGACAATAACACATACCTCACTTGAAGTCCTATAAGCACAATGTACAATTCCTAGCTTAGACACTATAAGAACCATTACAAGGGAAGGCTAATCTATACCTCATCTCATCTTCATTGTTAGTTAGTTTGCTTTGACCTTTGTTCTTCTTTGCAGTTGAACACTTGCTACTTTGCACTTTTCGCTTGTCATCTTGGATCATGGATTCTAGTTCTTCTTGTTGATCTTGCTACACATTACACCTCCAAATTTTCCATCCCGAAAGAACGACAACCCTGGGAAATCACTTTCCGAACCTACTTTCCATCCACCACATAATATTACATCCTTTCAAGAATCAACCTGATTTCCTACTTCCATAGCAAGAGTATGGGTGAGCTAGTTCGATTCACGCCTAATGAAAATCACCCGACTAGACCCTAACGACTCTAACAATTGTAACAATCAGAAAAAATATACCCAACTTAAGATCATATTCTTTTCTTATTGCCCAAACTGTTCCTATTTCCTAAACTGTTTGCTAGAATTTGATTTTCTGTCTGGATGCATACGTCGACGTAGCCCTTCTCCTTAAGCCATGACAGAGTCTCGCAGCAGGCCAACGCCTCCGCCACCAAATAATCATCTGCTCCCACCAATGGTCTTTTAGACTCTGCTAGAAACCTCTCTGTCGGTGTCCTCACACAGAAGCCAAAGAAACCCCTTGTCGTCTGATGATCATACGTCACATCACATTAACAGCTGGTCGTAAATCCACCTCCAAACTCCACCACTTGCTCCGGTTCAACCTCTCTCCCCCTACGCTCCACCCTACCAACATGTCCCTTCCCAGTTCAGCCTCTCTCTCATCACCTTAGCATGAACAGACACTGGAGTCGCCACTACCCCTTTAAAAAACAGCTTTATTTCTTGCCAACCAAAGTTCATGTAATGTTACCGCTATAACCTCTACATGCCCATTCTATTGAATAAAAAAATTGCCCCCAACAACTCTTCCCACGGCAAAATGGTGCTTGGCAGTATAACTTGCATCCTCTGCCATACACTTCTTGCTAAAGGGCATGTGCAACAAATGTGTTGGACAATTTCTTCTTCAAGGTTACAAATAGGATAAAGTATTGGTACATCCATCCCTTGTTGTCTCAGGCAAGCTGTAGTCAGGATAATATTTTTCGCAGCCCTATAAAGAAAATTGCGGCACTTTGGCGGGACTCCTAGCTTCCACACTCTTAACCATCTCGAAAAGCCTCCACCAGCCATTCCAAATTCCCCAACCAAACGTCTGTACCCACTACATACTGTGTAGGTTCCCCTCAAATCAGCATGCCAAAACCATTCATCCTCAAAATTCATATATGCAGGGGTTGCCAATATTGCCTCAACATTTTCATCACAGAATAGATCACAAAGAAATCCTAAATCCCAATCACTAGTTCATGGGGTCATCAAAGTGTCTAGTGTAATGTCACCTCACTCGGGGGTTTAGGTGTTTGAACCATCCCACTCACTTTGTCATATAGTCAAGCATGTCCCAAACCTTAGTGGATCGCTCGTTCCCCACCTTCCGCCATACACCATCTACTAATAATGTCCTAACTTCAAAAATACTCCGCTAGCAAAAACTCGAGTTGTCTAAGAGTAGCTTCCAAAAGATTACTCTTTGAAAAATATCGTGCTTGAAAAATATTAGAAACCGAGGACTCAGGGTTTTTCAGAAACCTCAACCCATGTTTAGCAACATAGCTAGATTGAAAGCACGAAGCTGTTTAAACCCAAGTCGCCCAAACTTCTTAGGCACAAATAGTCTATCCCATGCCAACCAATGTACGTCGCTCCCTCCACCACTCCACCAAAAATTATTCATTCTCCTTTCTAACCCCTCACAAAAAGTCCTAGGCAATAAGAAAACATTCATTGCATATATAGGTATTGGTTGTGCTACGCTTTTGTGGAGCACCTCCTTCCCAACCCAAGACAACAACTTTCTATTCCAAGCACCCACCCTAACACCTATATTCTCCTCAATCTACGCAAAAAGTGCTTTCTTGTTCCGTCCCACAAATGGGGGGCAGACCCAAATACTTACAATAGTCCTCCGCTAATTCCACCCTCAACACTCCTGCACCCTCAACACTCCTGCACCCTCTTCCCTCACCTCCACTTGGGTATTCTAACTGAAATAAACGCATGATTTGTAAAAATTCACCAATTGTCCCGAAAAACCCTCATACACTTCCAAGCAACTTCTCACTTCATGCGCTTCCTCAACCTTGGCTTTGAAAAAAACCATGCTATCATCTGCGAAAAATTGGTGGGATACAGGTGGTGCCCCTCTAGCTGCCCTAAACTCGTGGATTGACCCCTGCTTTGCACCTATATATTGTAGCAACAACGAGAGTTCCTCAACACAAATAATAAATAGATAGGGAGAAAGTGGATCCCCTTGTCTCAGCCCTCTAGACGGCACCACTGTTCCAGCCACCTCCCCATTAACCATAATATTGTAATTAACTGTGGTCACACATATCAGGATTAAGTCAACCCTCCTTCCAGCAAAACAAAACCTCACTAGCATCTTACGCATGAACTCACACTCCATTCTATCATATTGTAACACCCCGTGTTACGGCCTTCAATCCCATATTAATTATTAAATTAATCCCGTTAATAATAATTAAATATGATTTAATTCGGTTAGGTTTCCTTTAATTAGTTAATAAAGGTCCACCATGAACCGTGGACCCTTGCCTAAATTAGAGTCCTAAGCCTATTGGGAATAAAGAAAGTAAACCCTTTACTATTCAGATTCTGATTAGGAATCCTAGACCTAGTTATCTATTAGGAATAAAGGAAGTAGGCCTTCTACTATTCAGACTACGATTAGGATTCCCTTTAAATAATTAATATGGTCCACTATGGGCCATGGACCCTTATCCCTAAACCGAACCCTTAGTTCCAAGAGGAATAGAATTAGCAAGCCCATAATATTAGTTCCTAACCAGGACTCCTAAATATATAAATAGGGGACTTAAGAGGCGCCTAGAACCCCCACACGTCTACACGCCCCACCACCCCAGGAGAGCTCCAAGAATTCCCTTAGAAGAAATCAAGAAATCAAGAAAGCTTAAAGAAAGATCCTTCATAGCCAAGGAATTAATTAAGGCTAAGAGGTAACCCATGTCTCAACAAAACCTATTTTCATAGCTATGATTTCCCCTTAGGGTTTCCCCCATATTATTGTGAATGGCGAGATTATGGTGATTATTATTGATGTTGATTTGATGATTCCATGAGGAATCTTGATAATCTTGATAATTGGGAGTTTCTTGATAATGATGATATTCTTGATGATTAATTCGGGATCCTTGATGATTATGTGTTGTTCTTGATGATTATGATGTTCTTGATGATTAATTGGCATCCTTGATGTTTATGTGTTATTCGTACCGAATCTTGCAATTAGAAGATGAATCGCATTCTTGTTGATATAAAAATAATTAGAACCCTAGGTTGTATCGTATGTTATTATTCTTGGGTTATCGGGTGGGGAAATCGCATGTTTGGGTGTTGATTATGATTAGAAAAGCATGATAGGTTATGTGCCATTCGTTTATCGTATTTGATCCGTTAATTGTCTATGTGTTGTCGTTAATTACGTTGAAAAGTGTCTACGCATGGTTTCGGGTTCCACAACGGTTCCCGGGGCGAAAAGTTGATGAAAGAGTCAGTGGGGGGTAGGGGACCCGCCACCTACCCACGGCCGAGAACACTGTTCCGGCAGCGGGCAGCCGGCGGGCGGGCAGCTGCCCGCCGGCGACCCGCTGCCCGGAACAGTATTGTCCGGCGGGCAGCCGGCGGGTGGACCCCCACCCACCGGATACCCGCTGGAAATTTCCCCCCCTCGGGACCCCGGCTTCCCCGTTTGATGTTTCCCCGATCCCCGTGGTGTCCCTACGGACCCCGTTTGTCGTGCCTATGTCTAGTTTGATATTTCGGGTACCGTTCGTAGGTTTATGAGTCTATTATATTGCATGCTAGTTGAATTGGTATCCCGTTGACCTAGGTAGAAGGAGTATGAACCCTTAGGACTATTCTTAGTAAGTGATGGATCACGCATAGGTTTTATTATACGTTTTCTCCCCCTTCCTAATGTGTAATGTGGGTTGCATGTGCTTGCTATGTGTTATGTGTGCGTGTTGTCCCAATTCGGTTGCGATCGGATTGGTTACTCCTGAGCTGCGGTTCAGAAGCCAGCTACAGTCAGATGGGAATTCCTGGCTGTAGTCGGATGACGGTATCCTGGGCTGTGATCCAGAAGCTGGTTGTAGTCAGATGGGAATTCCTGGCTGCAATTAGATGACATTTTCCCGAGCTGCGGTTCGGAGGCTGGCTGTAGTCAGATGGGAATTCCTGGCTACAGTCAGATTACACATTCTTATGAGCTGCGGTTCATCGGTCGGTTGCGATCGACCCCTCCGTGTTGCGATACGGGGCAGGGTGCTGCGGGGCCGTGTCAGAGCTATATGCGCTGACCTTCATGTATGGGCATGCGATTGGTCCTGTGGCGCCAACAAAGTGTGCTATGTGTTGAGATATGGATGAGTTGTGATTATGAGTGTCTTGGGGGAATGTGACTGTGAGATTTATGTTGGGGATTGTTTATGATGGGTTGTGATTATTGTTATGCTTGCCTTATCTGCCTTATCTGTTGTGAACTACATATGCTCGTTATAACTGTTACTTGTGTCTGGCCTTATCTGTCGAGTCATTCCCGGTTTTAAAGCTAGAGTTTGTAGGATATATCTTCATGCTCAAAATGGTTTTCGTATATCTATATATATCTCTATATGTATTGTATTTCAACGCGTTGGAGTGGGTTACCAGCATCTCTCGCTGAACAGATATATTTGGCTTTCAGGCACAGAAGATTAAGTCACTGGAGTGCGTTGGAACTTAGAAGTAGATAATTTCCCTTTGGCCTGCGTGCCACGTTTACGTATTTACACTTTGAGGATATTAGTTAGTTAGCCTGTGCACTTGGGTTCTCTAGCCCAGGTGTGGCATAGCACCCCGAACACTTGTATTTATATCTTGGGATTTAATAAGATTCTACCTTTATTATAAGTTTTAAATGTCTTGAAAATCTGGGGTGTTGCAGTTGGTATCAGAGCCTAAGTTTGACCCTAGGATAAGACTCTTAAGACCGGACTTTAGGACACTAGGCTTGAACTCTAGGTATTTAGGAACATAGGATCCAGGAATCTTAGGACGCGCAGTGAGATTGTGAAACCTACACATAACCTCCCCTCACTTCATCCCTCTCTAACTTAAAGGAACCTCCCCCTACGCTTACCACACCAGGTAAGGGTGCGAATAGATAAGTTTACTTCCACAACTGGGTAACGTACACTTACCCGATAAATCGCCTCGTCCTAACTCCCGTCAAAAGACTTGACAAGGACCCTGACCAAAGAAAAGGAAGATTTGGATGACTACTAAGAAGAGGCGTTACAGTCAGGACTGCTAAAGGGGACGGACTGCAATACGCACCAACCCAGGGTAACCACGATAACCCCCGAGTCAGACAAATGACATGCACCTTCCGACAAGTTGCCTTATCTCGGCGAACCCGGGTTGCGGCTACAACAAACAGGAAGGAGAACTAGGACACCTATTAAAGTAGCAAAGGAACGACACCATTAGTCGAATCCTTGGGTGCAAGGTAAACCTTGCAACCCCACCACCCCAATTTAAAATATCATCCGCCCTGAAACCCCAGCATCTTGATACCCCTATTTGTTGAAAACACCCACCCCGAATCCTTAATTACCTTAAGAGAAAATTCGCAACCGTCATGACCTTGCTCACCCTTTGTTGCGCTTAACCCAAACCCTCGGAGACCCTAAATTGTTATTGCCCTTACTCTAAGTTCATATCCCCACTCCGTTTGGAAACCCTGTTAAAAACGTAGAGCAGCATAAGGCCCTTACCCTGCCCAGGGGCGTGAAGAACCGACATTCATTGATTCAATATTAAAATAAGTTGTTAGATAGGAATCGGCGAAGTAGGTGGAAGTTACGAATACGTATCATCCCACCCTTGCACGAAAAAAACCGTGAAGGCTTTACGAGAAGCCATAGCCGGCATGTACGCCACCGAAGAACGCCATGCGTTGACAAGAGGGGGCAAACCAATACGTTCAATGTGTCAGGGGCCCTCGCTACAGAAAACATCGTCAAATAGGTGCAACAGGTCGAACCTCAAGGAGGACCTAAAGCCTTACTAAGAATTTCATCCTCCAAGGAAGGGATGAAACCCAATAGAACAAGAAAGACTAACCCGAAACCCCCTTGACCCTTAAGAACCCTCGGCGAGGATTAGGAGTCAAGACCTAGGGATTTGACCCACTAACCGACTGAGTCCAGACTTCTGGACCTCCGAGGGGAACGTGCACGGAAACCATCACGAGAATTCCCCTGGAAGCCATAGAGACGAAGGGGGCTTCGACACGGGAAGAGAAGATCAAACGAAAATCTTAGAATCAAACGAAACCAAGGAAAAGGGATCACCAGTTCGACTGTACGCCACAACCAAGCCCCAAACAGGCATAATCACTCGAAACCAAGAGTCCTTAGCCTCTTTCCCTCCCCTTGCCAATCAAGTACCATTTCGTTAAAGAATCCATCCTATCACTCCAAACCTCGCTCTTGATCCCTCATTACAAACAAACCCGTACAAGGTAGCAACCTCCCTTCCTGTATTACGACCTTGGAGACATCGACCCTATCCGCCCCTCGGCTTTGAAACATAGCCCTTGCACTTCTTACACTCCTTTAACCCAGACCAAGAAAACATAGATACACATGTATATGTATATCTACCTCTAGAACTCGTGCTTAAGGATCACTGAACATTGTACGATGAGTCATCCTATGTATCCAAGTCCCTTTTATTGTGCACTAGGGCATGGGACTTGTCAGGACATGAATCTGTGTATTTTTGGGGTCTTTCCCGAAGGAATTGACTCTTCCTAGTCACTTTCCCGCGGGTCCCCAACGGGTCCTTGACGGGACCTTGGCGGGTCCTTGGCAGGAGCTTGGCAGGCGGACGACTGCCCACCTCGCGCCCACTGGTACAATGTGCTGATTTCTTAACCCCTCATTTTATTGATTTGTGGCGCACTTGTGTGCCTCGATTGAGGAATGTGAGTCTTGGGTAAGGAACCATGGACCACCCAAACATAGTGTCCTACGTAAAAGACCTTGACGCACGAGACACCATCGGGAAATCACAATCAATTACATTGCACGAGTAATTGAAATCGGATCCTACGATACAACTGACTAGGGATGTTTGGCGTAAAGGATTGCGCAAACCAAGGAGGCGAGTTGGGAACTCGTACTAAGAACCCACGAAAACCTTAAAAGTCAAAATGCTAAGGAGGGACCGGGACTCCTCCAAACCAGGGACATCGTCCGAGCAAATCAGAGGACTCCTTACAAGTTGTATGGAATCAAGAACTACGTAGCCCATGGTGCTAAGCAAAAGGGTGAAGAACACATTCGCGCCAAGACTTCAAGGGTCATTAAGGACCTACAAGGAGATGAGGTGACTCGTAAAGTCACCGAGTCATCCCACAACGAGATTTGGTAACCGACTGCGCTTTAAAGGAAAAAGGGCACGCAAGGACACCTTCATCATTAAAAATAACACAAACAGGGCACAGCAATGCCGAACCTCGGGTAAGACACGAAGTCTTACTAAGAATTTCATCCACTAAAGAGGAGATGAAATTCAATAAGAAGAGAAATTCAACCCAAAGTCCATCGACTCCCAAGAGACTTTGGGAAGAAGTTGGGAAATGCGCCCTAAGAGATTGGCTTGGTTGACCCAACTCGGTCAAGACCTTGGGCGCATTAAAGAAGTAAGTGTTGAATCACCACGGGAAATTCCCTCAAGAAGGAAGAGAAGGATGAAACCTTAGCCTGGGAAGCAAGGTCTAACAAGGATCTTAAAGTCAAGCAAGCACCAACACCAAGGAAGGAGGATCATCAGCTCGTCGGCGCATCGTGATCAAAGCATCTAACCAGATTATTCACTTGGGATCGAGAAACCTTAACCCATCCTAGCCGAATTCCTTTCCCTCCCTCGGAAAATCGGCCCCATCCTTATTTCAAAACCCTTTCTACCCTTCAGACCCCATTCTCAATCCCATGTTTTAACAATTCCATACAAGTGGCAACCTCACAACCTAAGTTGCAACCCCGAAAACTTGATCCTAATTCCTGAATTCACCGTGTCCTCAAGTTTGAAACCCACTCTCTTAGCCCTGTAAAACCCAATCGCTCCCAAGAACCCAACACACATAGGCGTGCATGTATACAATTTCCCCGTGGAATACCTTCTCTATAGGACCACGGTTCTTCTCTTGACTTGTTAACCCTGCAATGATTTCCAAGCTTCGGGGACGAAGCTTCTCGTGAGAGGGGGAGAGTGTAACACCCCGTGTTACGGCCTTCAATCCCAGATTAATTATTAAATTAATCCCGTTAATAATAATTAAATATGATTTAATTCGGTTAGGTTTCCTTTAATTAGTTAATAAAGGTCCACCATGAACTGTGGACCCTTGCCTAAATTAGAGTCCTAAGCCTATTGGGAATAAAGAAAGTAAACCCTTTACTATTCAGATTCTGATTAGGAATCCTAGACCTAGTTATCTATTAGGAATAAAGGAAGTAGGCCTTCTACTATTCAGACTACGATTAGGATTCCCTTTAAATAATTAATATGGTCCACTATGGGCCATGGACCCTTATCCCTAAACCGAACCCTTAGTTCCAAGAGGAATAGAATTAGCAAGCCCATAATATTAGTTCCTAACCAGGACTCCTAAATATATAAATAGGGGACTTAAGAGGCACCTAGAACCCCCACACGTCTACACGCCCCACCACCCCAGGAGAGCTCCAAGAATTCCCTTAGAAGAAATCAAGAAATCAAGAAAGCTTAAAGAAAGATCCTTCATAGCCAAGGAATTAATTAAGGCTAAGAGGTAACCCATGTCTCAACAAAACCTATTTTCATAGCTATGATTTCCCCTTAGGGTTTCCCCCATATTATTGTGAATGGCGAGATTATGGTGATTATTATTGATGTTGATTTGATGATTCCATGAGGAATCTTGATAATCTTGATAATTGGGAGTTTCTTGATAATGATGATATTCTTGATGATTAATTCGGGATCCTTGATGATTATGTGTTGTTCTTGATGATTATGATGTTCTTGATGATTAATTGGCATCCTTGATGTTTATGTGTTATTCGTACCGAATCTTGCAATTAGAAGATGAATCGCATTCTTGTTGATATAAAAATAATTAGAACCCTAGGTTGTATCGTATGTTATTATTCTTGGGTTATCGGGTGGGAAAATCGCATGTTTGGGTGTTGATTATGATTAGAAAAGCATGATAGGTTATGTGCCATTCGTTTATCGTATTTGATCCGTTAATTGTCTATGTGTTGTCGTTAATTACGTTGAAAAGTGTCTACGCATGGTTTCGGGTTCCACAACGGTTCCCGGGGCGAAAAGTTGATGAAAGAGTCAGTGGGGGGTAGGGGACCCGCCACCTACCCATGGCCGAGAACACTGTTCCGGCAGCGGGCAGCCGGCGGGCGGGCAGCTGCCCGCCGGCGACCCGCTGCCCGGAACAGTATTGTCCGGCGGGCAGCCGGCGGGTGGACCCCCACCCACCGGCTACCCGCTGGAAATTTCCCCCCCTCGGGACCCCGGCTTCCCCGTTTGATGTTTCCCCGATCCCCGTGGTGTCCCTACGGACCCCGTTTGTCGTGCCTATGTCTAGTTTGATATTTCGGGTACCGTTCGTAGGTTTATGAGTCTATTATATTGCATGCTAGTTGAATTGGTATCCCGTTGACCTAGGTGGAAAGAGTATGAACCCTTAGGACTATTCTTAGTAAGTGATGGATCACGCATAGGTTTTATTATACGTTTTCTCCCCCTTCCTAATGTGTAATGTGGGTTGCATGTGCTTGCTATGTGTTATGTGTGCGTGTTGTCCCAATTCGGTTGCGATCGGATTGGTTACTCCTGAGCTGGGGTTCAGAAGCCAGCTACAGTCAGATGGGAATTCCTGGCTGTAGTCGGATGACGGTATCCTGGGCTGCGGTCCAGAAGCTGGTTGTAGTCAGATGGGAATTCCTGGCTGCAATCAGATGACATTTTCCCGAGCTGCGGTTCGGAGGCTGGCTGTAGTCAGATGGGAATTCCTGGCTACAGTCAGATTACACATTCTTATGAGCTGCGGTTCATCGGTCGGTTGCGATCGACCCCTCCGTGTTGCGATACGGGGCAGGGTGCTGCGGGGCCGTGTCAGAGCTATATGCGCTGACCTTCATGTATGGGCATGCGATTGGTCCTGTGGCGCCAACAAAGTGTGCTATGTGTTGAGATATGGATGAGTTGTGATTATGAGTGTCTTGGGGGAATGTGACTGTGAGATTTATGTTGGGGATTGTTTATGATGGGTTGTGATTATTGTTATGCTTGCCTTATCTGCCTTATCTGTTGTGAACTGCATATGCTCGTTATAACTGTTACTTGTGTCTGGCCTTATCTGTCGAGTCATTCCCGGTTTTAAAGCTAGAGTTCGTAGGATATATCTTCATGCTCAAAATGGTTTTCGTATATCTATATATATCTCTATATGTATTGTATTTCAACGCGTTGGAGTGGGTTACTAGCATCTCTCGCTGAACAGATATATTTGGCTTTCAGGCACAGAAGATTAAGTCACTGGAGTGTGTTGGAACTTAGAAGTAGATAGTTTCCCTTTGGCCTGCGTGCCACGTTTACGTATTTACACTTTGAGGATATTAGTTAGTTAGCCTGTGCACTTGGGTTCTCTAGCCCAGGTGTGGCATAGCACCCCGAACACTTGTATTTATATCTTGGGATTTAATAAGATTCTACCTTTATTATAAGTTTTAAATGTCTTGAAAATCTGGGGTGTTGCACATATGTCTTTGCCATATCTAACTTGAGAGCAACCCACCCACCTCCCCAGTTCGTTTTCTGTGTAAAACACGACAAACCTCTACAGCCACAAGAATATTGTCCGTGATCAACTTATCAGGGATAAACGCAGTCTACGACTCTAAAACCAATTCCTTCACTAACCCCTTCATGTGGTTGGCAATCATTTTAGCCATAATTTTAAAGACCACATTACAAAGAGCAATAGGTCTCAGATACGAAACTAACTCCGGGACCTTCTTTTTAGGTTACGGGGATATGGGACCCTATGGGGTCCATTTTATTGGAAAAGTATTGGCAAAAGTGGGGGTGGTAAAAGAAGGAGGTTGGCTCAAGTCTTATTGGGCTAGGAAGACAAGCACGCATGGTGAGCCGGGGTGAAGAGCATAGACTGGAAGGGGGGAGGTAGGTTTGGCGTGGAGGGTGGGGAGGTAGGTACGGCGTAGGTGCAGGAAGTAGGTACGATGTGAGGGGGGAGGTAGGTACGACGTGAAGGGCGGAGGTAAGTGCGGTGTGCATGGTGGAGGATGTTAGTCAGCGTGCGCAGTGTGGAAGCGGGAGTCGCAGGGATAGCGACGACGTGACGTTCATGGCGACAAACAAGCGGAGTGGGGGAGTAACAACGTGGGACACGTAGACGCCAGAGGACGAGGGGGGCTTGCTATAAATAGGGCCCTTGGATCTTTGGCTAAGGCCAACTTAGACACGACAGGCACTACGGTCTAGTGGTCTTGATCTCATACTCAAAATTCAGTCACCTGGGTTCGATTCCTACCAGTAGCATAGTTAGCTATTGCCCATCCTTTGGGCCCTGTTTTTTATATTTGGGCCGCCATTCAGGGAATGTACCGCAGGCTTTTGTACGCATTGTTCTGGGCCTAGCGCCCTACCCCCGTCCTATGTTCCTATACCCGATTTATGGTGGACCCGGTCCCAATAAAACCATCATTGGCACCGTCTGTAGGGATCGGGATCACTACGATCAGCCCGTGTTTGTAGTCTCTACCGCCCAAGCAATATTCCGAGGTACGCCGAAATGGCTGGCTCGCAAGGAGAACATTTACCCGTTCAACCACGCATTGGGGGTGGACGAAACAACGGCCGCGGTGTGACGGAGGCTGGCTCGCAAGGAGAGCATTTACTCGTTCAACCACGCATTGGGGTTAGACGAAACACCGGCCGCGGTGTGACGGAGGCACC